GAGAGAGAGAGAGAGAGGGTGGTTCTAGTGGACCTATCAATCGTTAACTGTGTATGGACGTCGTGTCATCTCGTCTTTGTAAGAATGAAGTAGCCCTACTGTTGTGTCATTGACCTAATGCTTCATGAAACTTTTCAGAAGAATGATCCAAGTTTGTTATATTAGATTGTTTGCATGGGCATTTATATTTGAACCACAATACTCACCCTTTTCTTGGTTCTGAATGATTTTTTTTTATGGGTTTTGAGATAAAAGATTGTTGCAGCCACGAACATGAATCTGGTGCAACTTGCAGGTACTACTGCTACATCAACCTTGCAGCATTCAAGTTATCTCAGGTTTGTAGGCCTAGAAGATTACATGCGTCTGTTCCTCATTTGGAGAATTCTTCTAGGTTTGGCATCTCAATCTTTTGGTTGCTAGATATGTCCCCTCCTACGATACTTTCTTTTTCTGCTTTAAACGATTTCTTTGGTAGGATGGTGCTTATTTTCTAAGATTCATCTTCTTGTCGATGTTGTTGTTATTGACATAAGTTCCTAGAGAATTTTTCTTCACTAATTTGCGTTCATTGTAGTAAATGCCGTATTAAGGTATTTTAAGAGAAAATTATCAAAGTTTCTTATTAAAGAAATTTCTCATTTATTTATGTTTCCCGAATGGTGCTCTTTTATTGAGAATTTCACCGAGGAGAGATCGAACGATCGCACAATGCTTCCACTTAAAACTCCAACCAAATAAATAATAGGAACCAGCGATCGATCCGATGGAAGTCGAGAAACTCACACGTCTCTACCGAGTGGGAAGGTGACTTTGGCCCTCACCTTCTTAGGTTTTCTCAGATATATTAGGTTAGTGCCTTCTATTGGCGGATTTGTCTCGGCGTGTATTGGATTTTTTGACTTACACGCGTCGGGCATGTTTTCCCGATGTCCTCGTCATAATGGATGTCTTGGCATGGGTCGGATTTTCTAACTCACACACCTTGGGCACATTTATCTGGGTCGGATTTCCTGACTCATATGCTTTGAGCATATTTGGCCCGATGTCTCCGTTGTGGCGGATGTCTTGGCGCAGATCGGATTTCTTGACTCACATGCCTTGAGGACATTTGCCCGATCTCTATCATAGTGAATATCTTGGCACAGGTCGGATTTCCTGATTTATGCCTCGGGAACATTTGCCCAATGTCTCTATCGTAACGAATACCTTGGCATGGGTCAGATTTTTCAATTCACACACCTCGGGCACATTTTGGCATGATGTCTCCGCCATGGCGAATGTCTTGCCGCGAGTCAAATTTCTCGACTCACGCCTCAAGCACATTTACTTGATGTCTTCGTCGTAGCGGATACCTTACTGTAGGTCAGATTTCCTAACTCGTACACCTCAGGCACATTTGGTTTGATGTCTCTATCGTGGTAGATGTCTTAGCGTAAGTCTGAGTTCTCGAATCACATGTCTCGGGCACATTTGTCTGATATCTCTATTATGGCGGATGTCTTGGCACAGGTCAGATTTATCGACTCACATGCCTCGGGCACATTTTCCTTATGTCTCCATCGTAGCAGATATCTTGGCATGGGTTGGATTTTCTAACTCACACACCTCAAGCACATTTGGCCCGATATCTTTGTCGTGACGAATGTCTTGGTGTGGGTCAAATTTCTCGGCTCATATGGTTTAGACACATTTGTCTAATGTCTCCGCCATAGTGGATATATTGGTGTGGGTCAGATTTTTTTACTCACAATTCCCAGGCATATTTTGTCTGATGTCTTCGCCATGGCGAATGTCTTGGCATAGGTTGGATTTTTCGACTCATACATCTCGAGTACATTTGTTCCGATATCAAAGTTTAGTAGATTTCTTTCCTTTCCGCCCTAGCGGATCTCGGGCTTTTGACGTGGCAAGCCATTGTCCCTTCTCTATCGTAGTGGGTTTGGAGTTTCGGTCATAGTGGCCCTTTGTCCCTTCTCTTTTATAGTGGATCTCGAGCTTCCACTATAGCATGCCTTCATCCCTTCTCTATTGTAGCGAATCTTGGGCTTTCGTCATTATGGGCCTTCATACCTTCTCCACTGTAGCGGATCTTAGGTTTGCGCTGTAACAGGCCTTCTCAGGGTTTGTGTCTATTCCCCTTTGGTGGATGATGAAATTGAGAAATTTTCTCAAAGTAACTCCGAAGGCACACTTGGATGAGTTACGATGCATGTTAAACCTTTTCAGATCTGGAATGCCTCGGTTAGGTCCACCAAATGTGTGTCGGACGTTCTACTTTTGACCATCATATCGTCCACATATACTTTCAAGTTCTTCTTGATCTGGTACTTGAACATCCTGTTCATCATTCTTTAGTATGACACTCTTGTATGCTTTAACCCGAAGGGCATGACCTCATAGCAGTATACACCACGATCAGTAATAAAGGAGGTGTGCTATCGATCATAGGGTGTCATTGTTGGTATCGTCATTATCAAAGTAAGTTGTCGAATATGGTTGTCCTTATTGTTAGTGAACTCAAAGTTTTGGATAATGTTGGAACTCCAAAGCGAAGACATGGTCGGTGGTGTTAGCGATGTCGGACTAGTTCACGAGGCATGATGGTGAAGGCAAGGTCGTGGTTGCCGAGCTTGGAGCACTCAATGACGATGGTGAAGGTAGCAGAGAAAGAGAAGGTAGAGCCCATCGGTGGCGTTTTGGAATCGGAGGGCCTCCGGATAAGAGGCATGGAGTCGGTTTGGAATGGTGATCAAGTCCTCATACACTCAACGAGATCCTTCCAAATCTAAAATAGAGGGACAAGGCCTCTTCTCTTACCCATCCCCTCAACGATGATCCTCCCAAATCATCCATGTCACCGATAACTCCATCCCTTCGTATGTCTTCATTCATAATTTACTAAACGATCGAACTCCTTTTGTATTCTTTACGCCCCATAATGAATGGATACCAAATCATCTCTGGATCTTGCCGAATGTAATAAATCATATATATATATATATATATATATATATATATATATATATATATATATATATATATATTATGGCCTTAAAACGAACTTAATTTCCCTCTCGTTGATATTACAATTCAATGTTGCTTCCGTTACTATGCCACTCTCATTCCTCCTGATGTTCAAAGTTATTTGTTTATTTTCCTTGTCAATACAAGAAGAAGAAGAAGAAGAAGAAGAAGAAGAAGTAGTGAGGTTCATCTATGAAGAACATGAACAAACAAATCTGACGAGAGATTCAACTATGAAGACCACAACACGCACACACGCACACACATAAGAAGACGACTCCCGCTTCTCATCTCCTGGGAAGAAGAAGAAGAGGGAACGAAAAGAAACAACGTGGATGCAGGAAGCAGCAACACAAATCTTCGTGCTGCACTCAGCACGAGTTACGATCGCAGATCACGTGGTGGCTTCATCGGTGACGTTGATGCGGAGCTTCTGGCCGCCCTCGCAGTGCAGGCCAACGCTGCAGTAGAAGTAGTGGACACCGGCCTTCGTCACCTCCAGGATGGTGGGTCCCACGAACTGCACGTCCTCCACGTTGGTCTGCTTGCAGTAGACGAACTCCTCCTCCTCGGACGCCTCTATCACATTCTGCAACCCCGTCGTGTACAAGAACACTGTCGCCCCCAACGCCAATCCATGTAGTCCCGCAGAACGGAGAGAGAAAACAAAAGAAAATAGTGATTGATCATTTATTTCTTTTATTTTTATTTTCTTAGATATTAAATTAAATAAGATGAGCATTTTAAGTTAATTAAGATACTGAAATGGATGTCTTCGTGTTGTACAGCGTTCGATGTATTGAGAATATCTTCTAATTAAAAGAGTATATTGATACGAACCGAGTTTATCCCCCACGAAGAAGTTCTGTTTATTAGCCCATTCCTCGTAGAACGTCTTGTTGGGTGGGATCTTCCACCCGTAACTGCCTCCGACGATGTGGATCTTTTGGTGGGCTTGTGACACGGTCACAAGGCAACTCATGGCGACCACCAAGAGCAAGAGGGTGCGGTGCGCTTCTGCCATCCCCCTTGTTCTTTCCCTTCCCCTTATTCTGGCTCTCGATCGATTCTCACCTCTGTGGCGGATTGGGAGCAAGGAACAAGTACGAAACAAAGGAAGACTTATATAGATCCATTCCTTAATCTCTATCTAAATTTAGCTCACACCCCACAGATGGAGCAAACACATCCACAACTTTTTTAGGTTGAGGCAGCAAATTTAGCTCTCTCTCTCTCTCTCTCTCATGCTCATCCTAACAATCAATCCACATACATTCTTCTGTCACCGCCCTAATTGGCATTTGTATAGTCATCCTAGTCTAAATGCATTATTTACTTGGTCAAAAAGATCGAGGTTTCAATGAATCATCATATCGATGATACACAGAATTATCATAGAATTATATATATATATATATATATATATATATATATATATATATATATATATATATATTCTTATCCCATCTCATATCAACGTCTATGTTTGATATATGATTATTGAGGGCATCATGTAAATGAAGATAATATGGTAGCTTACTTTGAACAGGGATCAAGCTATATTGTGAATCCTGGAATCAGTTCATCTTAAGTGTCATGTCCTGAGTTCAGACGCTTCGTTATCACAGCCAGGATCATTTAAGAAACAAGGGAAGACAATATCCATCATGATATCATACCATTTGGTCAAGGAAAACTCTAGTGAAGAAGATGAAACAACTTGACACAGATGAAAGAGCACATGGTGTAGAGCACAAGGTTTTTTCCTGTACAGATGCCTCTCTTGGCACCCCCCTTACAAACCCGTGTGCAGCATGAGGAGGCTAAACAATTGCAGAGAGAGAAAGATGTAGACAAAGTTGAAGGTGATAGGACATCTTACAGCCACAGGCTTGCCATTTACTAGCATGAAGAAGACATGCACACACAGGTTAATAATGCATCCCTGATGAGACGATGGTGGTGATTGTACAATGGCCATGTGAGACACTCATCTTTGTGGGATTCCATATGCCTTGTGCTCATCTTTGTACAGCATCCCAACAGCTGTATTTATTCATGCCATAAAGTTCTAATCTTCGAACTTTTTCTTCCAATCACACACACACACTCTGATTTGGCACCATTTGGTTCAGATATAGTGATTATAAGGCTTTCAATGAGGTTATGATGGCTTGAAGATACGAAACAAATGTAGTCAGGTCTCTTCATATATCTATCAAAAGAATTATGAGTAGAAAATGCAGCACAAGTAATGAGAAGAAAGTTCATTCACCAGACTTATGCCTACTAAGTTCTAAGCATTTACTTTTCTCATCTTTTCCACTATAAACTAGTCAACCATTTACCATGTAACTCAAAAATTTAGATATGCCATTACAAATTCGATTGGCGACAACATAATATGTATACTCATAAAATGTCTTAAACTTATCCTTTGTTGTTATTGAATGCGATCAAAATGTATTGCACTGATGTTTAGGAAACTCAGTCAATGTGAATGCCAAATAATCATAAATAATGATCAAATCAAAGCTCAATAATCAGAAATTTGTCTTACAATTGCATTTCATGTCATCCACTGAGCAAACCAGAAGCAAGAAAGGACAAAGGAAAGACCATTAATTTCTGTAGCAGCTGCTGTGAACAGCAGTACTAAGTGCAGAATGATTCATTTTTGTTGACATTACAGGAAACAATCACCATCACTCATTTGTGTTTGCAGGTCCCCTCAGGACCCATCAAAGTTAACAGACCCTAATTGCGCCTCATAATTCAAAGGCGACATGACACTACAGATTTCTGAAGCACAAGGACACCAACATTTGCAGAGAAAGAACCAGGCCAACAGATGAAGATGAGACCTGTAGAGACATAGAGGTGGGCTTGCCATTTATTAGCATGAAAACATACACTCAGTGGTGCATCCTGTGTGCACTGTATCTACTCAGATATTATCAATGCATTCATGTCCATGTGAGGCTCATCTTCTGAGGTTCCATATACCATGTACTGTCAGCCACTCATCTTGAAGTCTTCCTTCCTTAGTTTTGTCTAAATGTTTCCCTCCTCCAACTTTTCTTTCAGTGAATGGCAATGATAGATGATTCATGTTCATCGACATACAAAAAGAATCAGACAAAATAGACATTATACTAAACCATCATCATCATCATCTTCATGCAGTAATGCATGCTTGTAGATCCGCCTCGGCACCTCTAACTTAACAAGATCTTGATTACTCAAATATAATCCAAAAATGATGTGGCACTCCAGACTTCAAATGGTAGCCAAGACTTGAGACCTCAAGATCAAATCTGCCTTGCCTCCTCAAAATGGTCCGGCACACAATCTCAGTTGCGGTAACTGTGCTATCTAAAAATTACGCCTCCTAATGTCATAATTTTTGAACCATGCAGAATGCAACACATAAACAAAAGCATTAACAGAACATTTGGGATAAACAAACATAATGATTCTATTTAAGGAGTGCAAATCTCACAAGACTACACATCAACATGCACCCAAATAACAATAATTCCCTCACAAACATAAATGCACTCCCGACAGGCTTAGAACAGCTTGTAAAGGGAGGAGGCATCCAAGGGGTGGATAAGGTAGGTCAGGACCAGGGCCACCAGCATCAGGAGATAGGCAATGCCCTGGTCGATTGACGTCCCTGCCCAAAAGAATAACCAAGATAACATATATCAATCCTTCAATCCTTAACACTTGAACATAAAGATCTAACATTACTTAATACTCTCATCGAGATCATGCTGGCTCAGCTAAGCTACTGTTGAGATCGCAGTTTGTAGTAGATCAGATAATTCAGTTCCTACAAATAATAATGAACTAGAAGAAGGAAGAAACCAGAGAGTATTATTAGTCATGCACCAGGCAACCAATCAGCAGCATTTAAACATCTTTTAAGGAGAAGGAAAGTTTTTTGGCAATGTTATGACCATTACAGAAAGTAAAACCTATTAATGCTCCCTGAAAGATTTTGAACATCATCCCCAAACTAAAACCGCGTTATGATTCATACAAACAACACCGATCCGATACGCAGCATTCAACCAAAAATTGGGACAAAAGATAACTTCTGAGACGATTATGACCGGTAAAAGATTCAGAGGTTTCAAAAAAATTGACCCATCAAAAACTGAGCTATGATCCAACAAAAGAACAATACCAACTCTTCTACTCTAACGATGGCAAATTTTTAGATCTAAAGCCGGTTGACTGCACGAAGAATTAGCAGAAACCTGTGCGGAAGACCATCACATTGTGCCTAAACCAGGCCGTAGCCATTAAAAACCAAAAAAAAAAAAAAGAGAACCGAGGAAGAGCCGAAAATCCAAAAGAAGAAGGAAAAAAAAAAAAGGAGCAGGAGAAAGATCAGATCCTTAGCATCTAAAACAAGCAGACACAAAATAGACGGAAGGGTAAGATCAAATGCACCGTCGCTTGTAGGCGCGGGAGCGGGGGCCTGGGCCTGCACGGCCGGCATGAGGATCGCCAAGGCGAGCACCAAGATGGTCACCAAGCCAAGCGAAGCCCTAGGAATCCCCGCCATCTCCTCCGATCTCTCTCTCTCTCTCTTCCTTCCGCAGGCGTAGCAGGGAGGAGGAGCAGCAGAGGGCAATGTGAGGAGACTTGATTCGCTTTTGATTGCTTTCTGGCTTCACTGAGACTTCTTGAGTTTTATGGCGGTTTCGAATGGCTCAAAATATAAAAACAAAAGTCGCATCAATATATTCCTTCTTTAGTTATTTATCTCTTTAAATTTACCTCATATTTATTTATTTTAACAATTAAATATATATTTTGATATATATATATATATATATATATACACCAGAAAACGGTA